AGGGGACAACATTATCTAGGGGTCAATAGGCAGCTGCCTAAATAAATGATTTCAGAGGTCCTGGAAGGATGTTCCATAACAACTCATTTCTTCCTCTAGATGCCTGGAATCCTAGGAGAAAGACACTGATTTAATATTTGAATGAGGGCTTCATATGCATGCAGCTCGACAAAGTCCCTTAGTGACTCACATCCAGTGGTTGATTTGACAAATTTCCTGCAAATGCAGAGAACAATGGAGGAAAGAACATCTAAAGGAGGTGCAATGAAGGATGCTGAAAAGGAGGCTGAGTGGTTCTAGGACTTCCCCAAGAGAGAGTGTGGAATCTTCTACTCTATCAGTATGTTCTGGCTGAGATGGTTTGCATGCCATTCTACTTGAAAAAATGAAAATGGTCTAAGGAATTTTATAACCTTGTTTCTTTGGTGTGTGTGTGTGTGTGTGTGTGTGTGTGTGTTTCTATTAATTTTAACTCATGTATAAATTCACATATCTGCTGCCACAATCAACACAGAAGAGTTCCATCCTCTCCATAAACCCCCTCATGCTGCATCTTTGTGGTCATCCCTCTTCCTACCTGTAACCTCTGGTCTGCTCCCCAGTACTTCAGTTTTGTTGAGACCATTCATTAAGTGGAATAATGAAATATGTGAATTTTTGAGACTAACTTTTTCACTAAGCATAATGGCCATGTGATTCATTCACATTGTTCTATCAATAGTCTATCCCCTTTTTATTGTTGGTTACTATCTGACAGATTGTCCATTCATTCATTAGTTGGGGAGATTTGGATGCCAAAATGGATATCTTTTGTCTTGCTCCTAATTTAGAGGAAAGCATTTACCTTTTCACCAGGGAAGAGGAGGTTATCCATGGTTTATAGATGCCCCTTACCAAGCTGAATAAGTTCCTTTATATTCTTATTTTGCTGAAAGGTTTCGCTGTGAATAAATGTAAAGTTTTTAAAATACTTTTTCTGTGTCATCTAACATAATCATGTATATTTTTCTTCTTTATGCTGCTGATTTAATGGATTAAACTGATTGGACTGTGCTTAACGGACAAGCCTAGCATTCTTGGAACAAACTGTACTTAGTGTGGTAATGTTCTTTTTAATATGTTGCTGGATTAGATTTTATTGATGAATATTGCTGGAATATTTTGTTGAGAATGTTTGTGTTTTTATTGATGAGGATTACTGATCTGTAATTTTATTGCACCATCTTTGCCTGGCTTTAGCACCAACATAACGCTGGCTTCATAAAATGACTTATAAAATGTTCCTTCATCTTCTATTTTCTGGAAAAGAGTGTATAAAATTAATATTATTTCTTCTTTAAATGTTTGATAGAGGTCTGGAAATTTCTTTTTCAAGAGACTTTTAAATATTTTTTTAAAAAATTAGAATTCATTTTTTAAGTTTATACAGTACTAGTCAGGTTACTCATTTCAACATGGATGAAGTTTAATAGTTCACAGGTTTTGAGGAATGACTCCATTGAATCTAAGCTCTCTCATCTCCATGTGTAGGGTTATTTTTATTATTTCCTTCTTTTTTCTTTCTTTAATGGTAATATGTTTCTCCTTCCCTTTTTTTCTTTCATTAGTCTTACCTAAGTCTTACCGATTTTATTACTCTTTTCAAAAAATAAAAAATAAAAATAAAACAAGCTTTTGTTTCATTGGTTCTCTTTTTATGTTTTCAATGTCATTGATTTCTGCTCTTTATTATTGATTTCTGTTACTTATTATTCCTTTCCTCTCTTTGCTTAGTTTTATTTTTGCTCTTCGTTTTTACTTTCTTAAGAAGAAAATTTAATGCTTTGGGATTTTTTTTTTTCTTTTCTTACACCAGCCTTTAGTGGTGTGAGCTTCTCCTGATCGCTTCCCTCAAATCACTCCTTATCGCTTCTTTCCAAGTTTCCTGGTGGCGTTCAGTGGGAGACCTGGGGTACAATATGCTTCTGCTAGCTGACCCAGAGCCAACTGTTCACACGATTTTTCTAGGCATCCTCTGCCAAAGAAAATATCTCTATTTCACATTATCCAAGCACACAAAAGCTTCATTTTATAAACAGGGAGATAAAAGTGTGCCTGTCCTCTGGCAGTTTGTCAGAAGTGCACATTTAAAGCTAATATCTACCATGATAAACCTTTTCACAATTAGCGCTTAGCTTCCAAACACTTTCTATTCATTACTCTTCCATACTCTTCTATTAGAGAAAAAGTATGGTCAACCTTTTCTACAAAAGAAAACCAAAGCTGTCACAAGAGACATTGTTTTGAGGATGTAAAAGCTCAGCCCAGCACCCAATTTGAAAATACAAAGCAAACAAACTGATGCCTCGTGGGACCTTCCAGTGGCCCCCATTTATTCCCTAATCTATTTGGCTGGACTTAGAAATAGCAAATAGATTCAAATGAATTAAAGTAACTGAATTTATTGCACCCATTTGTTTTCCAGGGTTTATAGAGGAAAAAATAAATAAAAGTCAGGGAATGAGCAAGGGTTCTGCTTCCAAACCCTGAGGCCACAGAATTGCCCTTTACTCTCTTCTGTCAATAATCTAATGACACTCGCTCCCTCTCCTTTAAACTTTAGTATTTGCTTTCATGAGAAAGGCAAGATTCCTGCTAGGGTCTGTCTTTATAGTCATGTTCAAGCTTCTCTTTATTAATTCGTATAGGAATCAACATACACAATGCACAACCACTGAGGCCCCAGTAGATGAGGTCCCTGTCTGTATATCAGTCCCTCACATCCCACCTTGTGTCACAATGGTTCATGTTGAACCCTCATAGCTCCTTACTCATAATTTGTCCCCCACCCTCCATTGAGCTTGTAAAGATAGACAACAAGGAAACCCCTTAAAAAACAGAAATCAAGATATTTTCCTTTATATATTTCCTGTTCTATTCTATAGTTTGATGGTTATAGTCAAATTAGAGCTTTGGAGTTTGTTTCTAAAGATTTGGATGAACAATTAAAATAAACGTATAACAGAAGAGGTCCTTTCTGCTGTGGAGCAGCTTACAGAGAATCACCGTACATGTTTTCTACCTAGCATAACAATTTTCAAAGAATTTGAATCCAAAACAACAACAAAAAAGTGAATGAAGCCCTGAAAATAATTCTCAGCTTTATTTGAACTTTCTCGGGTGATTTATAAGGCTCCCCTGAAATCCCACAGCATCTTCACAATAACCATCAATCAAATTTGGGCAACAGCTGTGCAGAAGTGACAGTGAATGGAGAATTCTGGTTAACAGAATGTCAGCTAATCGAGAGTTCACGCTCTGGGCACTGTTTTAGGCACCAAGAAGAATTTATTGAAATATTGACATGAATGACAATCCCTTCATCCGAGACACCCTGCACTCGCTGACCTATCTGAGACTTCTTTATTGTGCCCGTAGTCAACTGTCAGCAGCATCTTGGGCACAAATTGTCACCATCTGGATCATAATATAGAAAAAATATGATGCTTAGTAAAAATGATATGAGGGTGATACCGGGAACTGTCGACGTCTTAATATCTGTGCACTGGGAAGAGACATGAATTTGCTTTTCTCAAAGGAGCTCTGATTTCTTGGTGATTAGTTCATGTTTCCTGTACTAATTGCTCAGACAGCGTCATGCTTTATCTTTCTTGTCATCTGGGCCTGATTGTCGAGGGCCCAATATAACTTGGACTTTATAATCTTAAATGATAGAAGTAGAAGAGTCACTAATTCTCATGATTACCAGGAGCCTCATGAGGGGACACCACTGTGCCTATTCATCTGCCACGACATTCCCTGCTCAGATTTCTTTATGCCTTTTCTTTTCCTGTGACTCTAGGTTTTTCCATTCTAGCATGACACAGTAGCGCTGAGTGGACTATTGTCGTCCCCTAGCCAAGCAAGGTTTTTCTTTCTGCCAGGGGTTTAGATTCTATGGCCTCTCTCCTTTCAGCTCCCCCAGCTTTAGGGAAAACCACACATAACCCACTATAGCTTCTGTATAGCTTCACTCATCTGTGATTGGTAAGTATGTGATTACCAATTAGTAATAAGCTAGTTAGTTTATAAAAACACATATAGAGTCAGGACTAACATCACATAATTTTGAGTTTAAAAATTAAAGACATGATTTTAAAATATCGTGTCTTCCTGATATAGTCTCTTCCAGCTAGGGATTCTAGATCCAGTCTGTGTTTCAGGTCTTTCAGTCAAATTCCTTGACTCAGGTTTTGAACAGTTTTGCAAATTCAAGTATTTTTTTTTCTTCAAGATTTCTCTTCAAGATATATTCATCTCTGGAAGTAGAACTCACCAAAGCTAAACTAACCATAGTTTAACTTTACAAGTAAGACCACCTATGGATAATTTATAGTGAGATTCAGATGCAGCTTTGAACTCAGTGAGTGGCAATCTCTTTAGTACTAAGCGAGAAAAGTTGAGATGAACAGATGTTTGGTGATATGACATCAGAAGAGTCAATGTTAGAGTTCCTAGACAGTGGTCTCCAATAATTTTGTCCTCAATGGGAAATTGACAAGGTTGGAGACATTTTGGGTTATCACAACTGGAAGGAGAGTGCTACTGGCATCTACCAGGTTGAGGCCAGGGACGCTTCCAACCATCCTACCATGCACGGCAGAGCCCCCACCCACCTCACCCCCATCCCCCCGCCACAAAAAGAATGAGCTGTCCTCACATGTGAATAGTGCTGAGGTTCAGAAATTCTGCCTTAAGGGGTAGCTCTACCTATGTCTTCAGTTTCTTTTGTCATTTCCCTCTTCCCTACATGTAAGCAAAGCAGAGCAAAGCATAACAAACAACCCTACATAATAAATCAGATCAAATCATTAATTTCCCTATCGAGCCAACAAAATGCTAGCTATCAAATGTTCCAGTTGTTCCGCAGAATTAGCTGTGAATGCTTTCTGGCACATTTATTCTTCCTCTGAGTGAGAGGTGACAGCATCATTTAAGAATTTTTTTTTTCTTCTTTTTAGGTATCATGTGCATGAGAGGAGCCTAAACTGGGAGGAAGATTCTCATCAAGTCATAGAAGGGTAAAAAACACACATCTTGGACTAGATAAATGCACGCAGAGCTGTCCACAATGATCACTTTCCCCAAAGCAACCTGGAGATAAGGATTTCAGTATGAGTGCTTTTCCTGGGAGGTGATTCTAAGAAACATCAGTAGGTATGTGGAAGGGAAAGGAGCAAAATGGGTGTTAGTCACTTATGCTGTGGGCAACTGGAGCTCAGTCCACGGGGAACTTGGGAAAGCAAGAGAGTTCTGCCTTTTGAGAAGTAGGAATGGTGCAAGGGCCAGGCATTCCAACTTCTGTGTCCTCTGATATGAGTGAGCACCACTTTGGGGCCACTAACTTATTTGGCACAAGTTAAACTATTCTTGGGCAGAGTCACAAGCACTCACAGGAAGCCAAAAAGATAGGGATATGTCTAGCTATATCTGCTACAAGATCTACTGGGACAAGAGTGAGCTTGGGACAAAAATGGCCATTTTACCAGTGGTAGGGAGAAGGCAGCTTGAGTCTGAGGCTCAAATCAAAGGCAGAGTAGTATCCCCAGAGCTGCAGACCTCCCCTGTGGGCCACAGACAATGGACCTCAGAAACCTTATCCCAGAGAAGGTCCTCTGTTTGTGACCAAGCAACTCAGAGAGAATGAAAGCAAGCACAAGAGGCTCTCTGGGTGCAGGTGCATGTTGGGTGAGAGACCCATAGAAGCTTCACCCCCCCCCAGACTTCCCTGAGAGGTGGAAGGTTAATCCCCCAGAGGAGAAATTGATGATTTATGTGTGTGGGCCAGAAGATGGAAAGAAGTCCTTTCTCTTACAAGGAGTGAACAATTCAGAGTCAAGCAAGGCATAAACCCTCACTGTCAGTTCCCAAAGTCGCAGAGTCTTTGACTTATTCACAGAGACCCCCAGCATTGTCTTACATATGGAATAAGTACAATATCTGATCCTTACATGTATTATTATCTTTCACACAAATTCTTTTATAAATTTGACTTCATTATTATGATCTTTTCAATCAATGGACATTATATGCATACAGGGGGTTATAAAAATTGGTACACTTTTTAAAAGAAACTGCCAAGGTTAAACTTTCCACGTGTTATTTCATTTAAAACTTGTAACATTCCTCTTCAGAAAGCATTGTATTATTTCTATTTTGCAGATACTGTAACTAAGGCTCAGAGCAGTTAGGTGACTTACCTGAAGCCACCAAGCATGAAAACAGAGAATCTAGTTAAAGCCTGCCATGCCATCTCTGCAGTGCTCACTCTCAGTGTAGATCCATGTACAAAACAATCCCAGTGAATAAGAAAATCAAAATAACTGGAAACTGAGCACACTGATGTTTGCAGCATTGTCGTACCTGATGCTCCAAGGGTCAGACATTTCATTTTTGCACGAATAGACTGTCAGTGTGTCTGAGCAAAGGTTCAAGACCCTCACCCAGCACTGCCTTGCCTTCTGTGTGCGACGGAGGGACTCCCATGAAGAGACAAAGATGACCCCCACACCAAGCCTTCATTCTCAGCTTTTACATTTATTATGAACTTTTGATACAAATAATTGACCACTTTGCAGGAAACACATCTTGGAATAGCTGCTGAAGTCCCAAGCTCCGTCACTCTGGCTATGTCCCTGGACATGCAGAGCTAATCCCAGCCTCCTCCACATCGTGGGACTCTATGCTCTTCTGAATGGTAGACAACCAGGGGGCACCTGGCCTAAACAGGTTAGTGACATTCTTCTTTCCAGGATGGAGATTTAAGCTGGAAACTGAAAAACACACCATCTGGGTTTTAGGAACAAACTCACATACATAGTGGGACCCCAGAGAGGAGATCTCTGACTCTGCTGCCCCAGGCCTTGGAACTGCCCTTCCTGCTAATTCTCTGATATCCCTGAATTATTCCACTAACTATACCAACTTTCACTCAAGCTATTCAGATTCTGCTTCGGTTACTTGCTACCGCAGGACTTGAACAGGTACTTTCACGGGAGTCAAAGCCCCATCAGAGATAAGACCATCCCCAGGATGGGATCAAGTCTTCAAGAGCTCACAAAGTAGCAGAGAGAGCTTATGCTCTATAGAGGCCAAGGGACAGAGTGGAGTCACAGGGACACAATGTGGTGTCAAAAGAGAGGGGGTTTGGCAGGAGAGATGGGAGAGACATCTAGTCAGAGCAGACACTCTAAAGCATGGTGCAGAGTGCAGACATGAGGAGGGAGAAGTCTGAAATGGCTGCACTGTGGGATGGGATTGGAGGAAGCCTGGACAAAGGCTTGAGGTGAACTGTTTTCCCAGTGTGATCCTTTGTGATCCCTCCGACATGGCAGCCTGTGCATGAAAACACAGCTAGATGTATTAACTGATAGGCTTTTTGTTTGTAAGATTTTTTTTCTCCTTCTAGACCTTTCTCCATTCAATCTTGTAAAATTCTACACTATTCCCACAGGGAAGAAACCAGAGAAAAACAAGAGTCATTCTTAGAGTTTCCCAGGGAGGGCTAGTAGTTAAGATAGAAAAACAGAAATGATGCAGGACACATCTAGAGAGTTCATGTCATTTCAATCCTAATAAAAAGTAAAGAGGTCCCTTGTCAAGGATTGGGGACTTATTAAAAAATAATTTAAAAAAATAGTAGCAACAACAGTGAGCCAATGGCTTCGTGCTCATCCAGGGGTCTTTATTCCAGGCCACTTGAGTATTAGTGGATTTTGAATCGCCAAAGGAGGCAGCTTGTCAGTCACCAAGGTGGAGCAACACACCATAGTGCTCACAGGATTTCTAGGAAATGCATTCCTGAGCCTTAAAAGTTGGATCCTGACTGCTGTGTAGCTTTCAGGAAAACCCAGTTTCTCTGGCTTCCTCTTCCTACCAGTGCCTCTTGTGCACATTGATCTCTATGACTAGATTCCCACCTTCCACTGTGCTTTACTCTCTGCCCCAGAAGTCTCCTGCAAACTTCCTCCCCATCAACATTCATTTCTTCATACAAGCCGTGTCTGTTTCTACTGGTGAGCTTCCATTCCCTGCCCAACTCTCCATTCTCTGTCCTTTGCTGCCCTACTGTGTTCTGGAGATGATCTGCAGACCCCATGGTCCAGGTTCCCTTAGGTTCTGGATGTTGATTGGTTTTTCCAAATAGGAGAAGCCAGGAAAGGTACATTAAATGGGGAGATAGAGGGTGCTTATTCCTCTATCCTACAACCTCGCTTGCTACAGACCTGGCAGTTCCTGCATCCCCCACACTAATAACCCCATCTGCTGGCTCTCCCTCTTGGGGCCCAGCTTTCTCCAGCAACACTTTCTTGCCCTTACCCCTTCAGGCTTGGAATGGTGGTAGCATTCCACTGGGTGTTTTGCCATCCATTCCTTCTGGATTCCCTCGACCCAGCAACACCTCGGCGAGGAGTGTCTTCATTGGACTGTCTTCAGTTAAGCTATTTGCTTGTGTCATGTATCTTGCTGGCACCCCAACAACTACAGATTTCCTTCAGTGCTAGTTGTTTTCCTTACTGGAGGGGATTTTGCAGTAATAATAACTACTTTCTAGAGGATACAATCCTAGCTGTTATATAATTCACAAGCAGCCCCACTATTGTAGGAGAGAATATTGTCCGATAGGGATGGAGTCATTTTGTTATGTTTTAGATCTGAAATGCCCCTCAAAGGCTCATGTGTTAAAGGGTTGATCCTGAATGCAGCAACTTTCAGAGAAGGGAATTTTAGGAAACGATAGGATCATGAGGGCTCTAACCTCATCAGTAGATTAATCACTGATGGATTCATCATTTGAGTGGACTATTGGGAAGTGGCAGAAACCGTAGGAGATGGGACCTAGTTGAAGGGAACGTGTTCCTTGTGAATGTGTTCTTGGGAATTATAGCTTCTCTCTCTCTCTCTCTCTCTCTCTCTCTCTCTCTCTCTCTCTCTCTCTCTCTCTCTCTCTTTCTCTCTCTCTCTCTCTCTCCCCCTCTCTCTCTCCCCTCCATCCTTCCCCACCACTCCCTTCTGCCATGATGTTCAGTCCCATTAAAGACTCAGAAAACATGGAGCCAACTCACCATGGACTGAAACCATTGAAACAGTGAGTCAAAATTAGTATTTCCTCCTCTAAGTAGATTCTTTCAGGTATCTTGCCACAGTGATGAAATTCTGACTAACACCTGATTGTAGATTGTCATGAGTAAAAGGAAGATCTGGTTTAACTAAAGTTAGAGCCTTTGATTAGAAATCCAGTCATCCACATTCTAGCCCTGAAATTATCACGTGAACTTGGACAGATTCTTAAAGCCTAATGTTTAAGACTAAACCTTAAGTTTAACTCTTCTTGTATATCTGTTATCCTACTTTGAACCTGTTTTCATTTAGTAACATATCCTCTGGTATGAATATTATTTGGTTTTATCTGTCTTTCCCATTGGGCAATGAAACAAAAAGCCAAATCATTTCATCTTTGCAACCTAGTACCTAACACAGTGCCCAGCTCAAACTAGGTGAAAAAATACATTTGTTTTCTGAATTAATGTAGAGGCAATCCCTCGCTTAAATGGCCTGGAAAATAGAAAATGCTGTTTGGCCCCAGACAGCTGCAAAATCCCCCAATACCTCTGATAGCACAGGATGCAGTGTGCTGTGATGGTTTGCAGTGGGCCTCCAGAGTCAGGCTGTTAAAATCCGGACTCCTCTCCTTACAAACTCTGCAGCCTGGGTCAGGTTGCTTAACCTCTCATTAGGATAAAATCCTATCCTATGATTAGTTGGATAATAATAGTGCCTATTCATTGAGATGTTTTGTGGCTCCCAGGCACATAATTATTATCCAAACATTGTTGATTATTGTTGTTGTTGTTGTTAATACATAGGAAAACCTTCTGCCATTCCACATATTTGCTAAGAGAATTATTGTAAAACTGAAATTATCAACTAAGATATGCTAGGCCAATGTTGAAACTAATAATGTCAAAGTGTTAAGAATTTATTAAAGGGTTTTAAACTCTCTTAAAGAATTAGGGACTCTCTTAAAGGAGTTAAAATTACTAAATAAAATGTGGTGTATGCACAGTATAGAATTTTATATAGGAGTTGGTACAGTTGTTCTTAACCGGGGGCAATTTTACCTCCATGGGACATCTGGCAATATCTGGAGACATTTTTGGTTGTCACACTTGGTAAGCTAATGAGCAGAGATCAGAAATGCTGCTATATATCCTACAAGATGCAAGACAGTCCTCTACAACAGTCAATTGTCTGGCCAAAATGTCAATAGTTCCAACTTGTTTTGACTCACTCCCTTACTTGGCTACGCAAGCTGAGGCCCTTGGCTGTGCCCTGGCTGTGTTTCTGGAACCCTCTTACTGTGAGCTGTCTTTCCGAGTTGGAGGCAGCTCCTACCTCGGAAATATACTGCTTCCGTCAGCATCCTCTTGGGTAATATGTTTTTTAAATGTTTACAAAGTAACCAGGAAAGGTAAAAAATTAGAGAACAATTGAGAACATCTCCACTCATGTCCATTTGTTCTTGGAACTCATGACCAACATTAGAGCCACAAAGAACAGGGTTGGCGTTCCTGGTATTGGTGTACAACCAGGGACATTAAGACCCTGCCTCGCTGTCCACAACATGTTGTTTCATACACTGTCCGTACCAAGGTAGGGTTCTGTTGTCATTATCTTGTTAGATCCTGGGACATGGGTCTTTTGGGTCTCACCACCTAAAGCCTATAGACTCCCATTTCATCTCCTTAAAATCATCTTATCAATATGCATTTAATATCTACTCCACTTGTAGCCTCATTTCAGAGGTTTTGTTTTGTGCTAGTTTATGTGAATCTGCTTTTTCTCAAATGGATCCATATTCATTTTCACAGTTTCTGGCAAGAAAACTCATATTAGTAAGAGCCATGCCAAATCTATCATCTCAGAAATCACTCATCTGTTCCCTCAGTGCTCATTCCCTAACCCTCAAGTCCTCTGCTATAGTGACTAGGATTGCAAGGTCCTACTATATGTTTGTGGTAGGCTCTGGGTATGATTAAGGTCACAAAAATGAACACTATAGCTAACAACCTAGTTAGCTGAGACATAATTCTTTTTAAAACTGCTGAACATCTTATGATTTAGCAGTTCCTATTTTCAGGTGCTAGCTAGGGAAACATCCACACCTGTGTGGAAAGATGCAGATGTAAATGTTTATTGTAGCATCATTAGAAAAAAATGGGAACAACCCAAATATTCATCAATGTTATAATTTCTAAATAAAATGGGGTATATTCACAGTACAGAGTTTTACATAGCGGATATCAGGAAGAATCTACTCCCAGAGGCAAAAACACAAACAGATCTCCAAGAGACAAGAGTTTTAGAGAGAGAGTCCCCAGGGATACACAAAACTCTGGGCACATGGAAGGGGAGGGAACATCAATGAGGAGGAGTGGTCAGAAATTATTATTTTTCACCCAATACCATTTATTGACAAGACTATCTTTCCCCATTGTGTGTACTTGGCACTTTTGTCAAGACCAGTAAACCATAAATTGGATTTATTTCTGCTCTCTATTCTATTGGTCAATATGTCTGTTTTTATGCCAGCACCAAACCGATCTCATTACTGAGGCTTGATAATATATTCTGAAATTCAGAAGTGTGGTGCCTCCAACTTTATTTTTGCTTGAGGTTCTTTGGGCTATTCAGGTATTTTTATGGTTCCACATGAATTTTGA